GCAAAACACAAATCAATGTTAGTATTCAGCCAAACAAACCACACAATGCAATATTGTTCTGACCAAAAGCATCTTTAGCTTCTGTTTGAAGATGTCAAATCTTATCAGAAACTCACCAACAAGTTGATCTTATGAAGTTAGAGTCATGTTTTAACGTCCATACTGTTTCCCTTTGTCCTGGATTTAGTAGAAACTAGTTCCAGGACAAATACTTCCATCGTTATAGGAAGTAGGGGTTGGACAAAATTTCAAAAAGGCAATATATTGTTGTACTGACTTGATAACTCAATCTAGAATGTTGGCTGTGTTCTGTGTATCAGTGCAAACGAAGTACTCATGTAAACTGAGGCATGCACCGTCATTACAGTAAGAGCAGCCCCCCATCAAAAACAGCACGCTGGGAAACCCACCGAGTGACGCAGATGGAGTTAGCAGCGCTACTTGTACCACCTCTTCTCCGTCCTGAGGTCATAATGGTGTTTAAAGCAAACGGTGGAATACTGTTTCAGTGAACGAGTGACGAGCGAAGGTGGGAAGCACGACTCCAGAGACGAGGTTTCTGTACTTATCAACTTTCACTGCAGGCTGAGATCTCAACTACCGTAGTGCAGCTAGTAGGAGTGCAGTAAAGTAAACTTTACAAAGTGGAAACAGACGGTAATAAAAGAGCGACACAGCTGCACATAAACTGCATCACTGAACACAATAGAAAAATGTCACACAGGGATTCAGGTTAAACCTTTTTGTTCCCTCTGGTAGACCTCTAAAATACACACCGACTCACGTTATGTATAATTTAAATGACAAATATGGCACAAAACAGATTTCCTGTCAAATTTTTTCCTTCTTTCATTGTATGTATACTGTTGTTGTTTTTTGTTGATGTAAAGCACTTTGTGACCTTTGTCTGCGAAAAGCGCAATACAAATAAACTTTATTATTATTATTATTATTATTATTACTTCTGTGAAGCTGACACAAACAACGCTCTGAATAATACATGTTCATGGAAGTGATTTTTTAAGGAGGCGTACTTTACTCTTCAGTTTTTCAGACACTGTGACGTAATCGTTAAACTGTGAAGCAATACACCGACTTCTGCAGAGTCACTGGATCGTCATACTATGACTACCGTGGGCTAGGTATCGCTTTTCATGTGGTGTTACACAGGAAATCCCCACTCCTATTTAGAATGTTGAAGTTTCAGCCACGTTTTCATCACACTGGACTACAAAAATGATTCACCTCTGACCTGACTGCCAACAGAAAGATTAATCCCAAAGGACACAAGAATATGCATGAAACTGTGAATGGCTGATCATCCAGAGTCAAAGATGTTTTTTCTATAGAGAGTTTAACTTTTTAAAACACCACTAGTGTTTATTTATACAGTCAGCTGTTAGTCTTTATATTCTGAACTCACTGTTTCCATCTTGAGGATCATCGACCGTCTCCACGTGTCTCTTGTGCTCCTTGTGCTCCTTTGGCACCTTGGGCTCCTTGCGATATATCTTGGTCATGCACCTCTTTAGGGAAGTCATGCTGCGCTTCTGCAAGATCAGATACTCGTCCTTCAGCAGCAGCCACTCCTTCCTTCACGCGAAAGAGGAAGACAATCATTGTGTTAGAAAAATGACATTTTGAAAAGGGGGTTTTCTTTTACGTAATCATTACGATGACAGCATTACAGAAAAAGGGATGTTGATCTCACTTCGATAGAACCCGGAGTGGGATGACTTCCTCCTCGATTTTCAGTTTCTCCTTGTGTTTCTTATTTCTCTTCCTCTTTGCTTTAACTGTGGAGTCATCCATGTTTTCTTTCCCTTCCTCAACACGCCTCTCTGTTTCACTTTGAGCAGGCGCTTCTACAGAAAACAATGGGAATGACACAGTTTACACAACATGCTACTTGTTTTATTGCAGCTTTGTTTTGAGAGAGGACAAGCAAAAGAAGATGAATTAGACCTGGAATGGAGCAGAAGATGATAAAATAACTTACTCGTCTTTGTGACATCCTTTTCCTTTTGCACACCTTCACTTTCACTTGCTCTCCTTATCTTTGACGGCAGCTCACTTTCACTTCCCTCTGCTGTGGTCGACCGTCGTCTTTTTTTATCCGACAGTTTCCCAGGTGTCTTCTGAGAGTTGGCTACCTCTGGATCCAAATCCGCAGCTGCTGAGCGCTTCCTCTTTTGCTCAGAGGGCTCTGCTTCCATCACCTGCTCTTTGGATTCTTCAGTTGAAGTCTGTAAGCTGGCGCCATCTTTCTTTTTCTTCTTCTTCTTCTTTTTCTTCTCCTCTTCTTCACCTGGAGGGTTTCCAAAGGGTGCAAGTTGTTAAATAAATAGCACCGATGTTGTCATATGATCCAGGGAAGCAAAGATGTAAGAGAAATGTATGACTGTACCTGGTGGGGGAATGTCATCTGGCAGGGGCAGAGGCTTTCTGTTCTTTGTTTTAGGGAAAATCCCAGGTTTCCTGGGAGCATCTTCAGGGGGGTTGTTCAGCATCTGTTACAAACATCCAAATATTTTGTGAGTTTCTTTCCTCCAAAGAGCAAAAACCTGACACCACTGTGGTCAGATATCCCGGTTAAATATTCAAATTCAAGTGATCACCTCTATGGCTTTCTGTGCTTGTTCTTCATTCTCAAACTCTACAAACGCAAAACCCTTAGGGTCACCAGAGCTCTTGTATCTAGGGATGCTGATATAAACCACATTCCCACATTTTGTGAACACTTTCTCGACCCAGCTGTGATCCACATCCCTGGGCAAAAGTTCCTGCAAAAAAAAAAAAAGAAAAAAAGAAAGAAATATCTATTATTTTAGGATCGTGCAACATTATTTATTCTAGCAGGCATTTCTCAAATTGAGCAGAAAAGTGTAAGCAAATGTAAGGTGTTTATTCTGTACATATAATCAATCTTTAAAAACAATCTTTATAAACATCCAGAAAATAAATCAACATTTATTTAATTCTTTAAACGTAGAAAATAACTATTTTACCACATAGACCGTGCGGCTGTCAACGTTATTTGGTACGTCTCCGATAGGAAGCTGACGCCTCACTTTATTCCCTTCCAGGTTAACCTGAAAGAAAAGGAACCCAAGTGCGTTGAGTACATTCATTAGAAACTAATTTAAGAGAGTTTTCAAAGAGATTCACTTCACACTACCTCGACAACAGATGAGTTTTTCAGCGCTCTCGCGATCAGCTTTGTGTCCGTTGTCAGCGTCTTCATTCGATTGAAGCTTGCCAACACAGATATGTCAAGATCTTAAAGACAAAAACATCAAGTTTTTACTCAAATAACCTTGTAATCAACGTCAGATGTGAATGTTGGAGTGCATTATAGAGTCTTACATCCGTCCTCTGACTCATCGAGAAGTTTTCTCAGGAAGCGGTCCTTGTGAAGGTTGACATCTCCAAACCAGAACTCCACTTGCTTCTTCACATCACCCAGTAGATGTTTCACACGGGTCCTTTTCTTTTTCTCGAGGTCCTTGCTCTTACTGCTGGGTTCGTCGGTGCTCGCCTCAGCAGCACCTCTCTCTATGTCGATCATCCTGTGGGTGAGACTGCAACACAAGGACGGTAATGTACACATAGCAAATAGTAACTTCTTAAACCCAACGTGCTGTGCAGAAGATAATAACAAACAAACTCAATTATAATGTACACAAATGAAACAACCTTTCACCAACCCCTACATCGCTTAAAATATTTATGATCCCTATCCCAGACCTAATCTTGTTTGCTTTTATCCTACAATGCAGGACCCACAGCTTCATAGTAAACACGCCCCTTCAGTAAGATTAAAACATGCAATCGATGAAGTAGGTATAGAATAGAATAGAATAGAATTACTTTAATGATCCCAAACTTGGAAATTGTGGCGTTACAGCAGCAGGTTATCCAAACACACAATATGAGTAAAAAACACAAAGTTAGCAAATCTAAACACAATATAATATTAAATACAAAGTAAATAAGTACTAAAAATATAAAAAAATAAGAATGTGAATATATACAACCAGGATTTAACTTAGCATTACTAGTCTTAAATAGGAAGATTGAATATGGAAGATTGAATGTAAATGTGCAAAAACAGAGTTGTAAATTAAATATGAAAATTAAATGTAAATGTGCAGAAACAGAGTTGTAAATTAAATATGAAAATTAAATGTAAATGTGCAGAAACAGAGTTGTAAATTAAATATGAAAGATTAAATGTAAATGTGCAGAAACAGAGTTGTAAATTAAATATGAAAATTAAATGTAAATGTGCAGAAACAGAGTTGTAAATTAAATATGAAAATTAAATGTAAATGTGCAGAAACAGAGTTGTAAATTAAATATGAAAGATTAAATGTAAATGTGCAGAAACAGAGTAGTAAATAGACAGTATTGACATAAGTTAAAGTGCATGAGTGTAGACATATTATAAGCAGAAACTATACAATATAACGACGAGTAGACAGTAGTAAACATGATAAGTATCACATATATCCACTTCTAAGTAGTCTAAGTTATCCTCTCCTGTTTGAATCGAGGATTATTATTAATGCATTTAGCAAACAGTTGTTGAAGCTAAAATGTCGATTCGCGGGAAGCGACATTTTAAATATTCTACCGTCGCTCCACTTCATTACAAAAGCCTCTAAACCACTCAGCAATGATTGAACTGACAAAACTGACTTAATTAGAGGTGAAGAAACGATTAAGTTTGACGGGCTTCATGCACAAAGATAAAAGAAGACGATAGCTTACCGGCTAACTTCATACGAACACGGCACTAGTACGACATTTTCATGTCGCAGGATAAAATCGTCGGACAACAATCAGCCAATCAGAGCGAGCAGTTTTTAACACTTCCGGTAAGTTTCTAAAAAAAAAAAAAAAAAAAAAAATACAACGAACAAGATGCGGTTTTTTTTTTTTCCATAAAGTTTCAACATTTTATTGACAGTGGTGAATACAGCTGATCACTTTTTATTTAAAACTTGTGTTTATTATATTACAAAAAAAGTACAAAACATTTAGCTTGTAATATAAATAGTTGATAGAAATCAAAATAAATAGAAAACACATCAGTATTATAAGGTAATACATTTTTTTATATATTGTTGTAAACAGTAGGCCTACGGTATTGTAATTTGTTTAACCTGATAACCAGTATGTAGTTAAAGATTACATTTTTCACTTGTATAAATTCCCAGCATGGCCTTTTTTTTTAAGGGGAACAATTGATGTGCTGAAAGTAGATAAAACATTAAACACGAGAACTTTAATGTATTTTAGGTGAATAATATAATATATGTCTCAAAGCGCTGTGGCCGGTTAGCTCAGTTGGTTAGAGCGTGGTGCTAATAACGCCAAGGTCGCGGGTTCGATCCCCGTACGGGCCAACTAGTTGTTTTGCATATTGAATATTTTCAATGACATTCTGGATATGTGACCTGCATGCATTCCCTCATGGGCAAAAATCCCAAATTAGAGGTTGAAGACAGGAAATTGCATCATATTATGTAGTAAATATAATTCTGTAGTGATACTAGTTTATCATTCACAATCAATATGTTTCACACAAAGCGTTTAACATCAAACAAACACATGAACTCCATTTATAGCTTATGACTTGAGGTAAGTGAATATTTGTCTGTCAGTGTTGCAAAATGTTCTCAAACTTTCTGAGCTTCTTGCACATGTCTTCCTCGGTGCAGCTCTCTATCCTGCCAGCGATGAGCTGTGTTAGTTGCTCGTAAAAGGTTTTCGCCCACTTTGCTTTCAAGCAGTGGGCTGAAACGTTGCACACTTTGTGGAGTACCATCACTAACTTCTCGTTGCTGCTGACCTCACACCTTTTCAACACCCATTGCCCCCATCCGTCCCACATATCATCATCTGTGAAATCCACAGTTACACTTTCTCTAGTGCTAAAGGTTTCTGGATCGGTGTCAGTCAGGTCATTCCATATGGCTCTGTATGAAAACAGAATCAAAAACAGCTTCAGAAAAATGTAACTTTGAAAAAAATTGGGATTAGAATGATTTGATGAAAAAACCTACTCACACAACTCTTTCCAGAGGATATGGAGTCAGGTCCTTGAGGGACATCAGACCTCTGTAGGTCAGGCGGTTTCCCTCCATCCTGTAAAAGCACATACCAGTAACAATGTTTAAAATGTTTTACATTTAAATTTATCAGCAAGCCATACCGTATAAAAACTATTCAGCATATTTTCCAGCTGTTAATATAAGTATATTATGCTCCCTGTTGTAAAGTTATGCCAAGTTTCTTACCACAACTGTTCAAGCTTTTTTTTCACGCGTATGGCATGTGATAGAACAAGTAGTTCCTCATCCCCAATGTTCGACCATCCAAGTCTAAAACGAGAACACAAATTGGGAAACAGTCTTTGTGGTACTTTGTGAGCTTTTAATCTCTTGAAGCCTGAATAGTTTATCGACATCTTACCCTAGTTGGGTTATACTTTCTGACACTTGCAACACATCAGCAATCGCTTGAGCTGCTTCCATATCGAGGATGTTTTCTCCCAGCCTTAAAAATGAAGCAGTGGGGTGAGTGCACAATATATCATCCACAAAATGATGGTATTAACTCTTAATACATTGATAATTTAAAGCCAGCAATATTGACCACTGGTACTGAACATGGAACAACATTTAGAAAAATAACATTAAGAAAACTCATATAAATACATTAACAGATTTGTTGTTCAATCTAATTTGATCTGAAACTTACCAAAGACACTGACATCTAATCAGCAGGGGCTGAATATCTCTTAGTGATTCACAGCTTACTCCGGTCCCAGTCAGATCCAGCTCTGATATTGTCCCCTTTGTCAGGTTTAGGAAGTACTTGATAGTATTGTAGTCCATTTGGGAGAGTGTTTCATCACAAACATTAATCCGCAGTGTCTTTGGTTGTACAGCGAGGGCCAGAGAAGGGTCCTGCTGCTCAAACAGGCAGTGCAGATGGTTGAGGATATGGGCCCCGTTTTCACAGCGTGCTGTAAGTTCTCTGATGATCCTCTGACGATAGGAGTCCACTTTTTCTTTATGACAACACAGCCCCACCTGCCTCGACAGAAGGTTAGCATTGCGCTCAGAGAGGATTCCAGAAAGGAAGCGGTTGAATAGGTCCAAATGTCCGTAGTTGGATCCCTCCACGGGAGTTGTAGAGTTCTGAATTGCATCAGGTAAAGGCTGATCAGTGACGGCACAGTAAACGGCTGCAAAGAACTCTTGGACAGTAAGGTGTGCAAAGGAGTAAACCTCTTCAGTACAGCCTGGCTCTTGGGCCACCGTCTTGTCAAGGAAGGTACTCACAAGGCTGCATCCCTTTACTGCTGCCACATCTGGGTCGCTGCTGTAGAAAAGAGTTTGATGCTCCATCAACTTTTTGAAGGCAAGTCGGCCCAGCTTTAGCACAGTGTCAGATAGCTGCTGATTGGCTCCTGCTTGTTGCTCCTGAAAAAAGGTTTCAGCTCTTGCTTGAGTGTGAGAGCGGAGCAATGCCACTAGATACTGTACGTAAATGTCTGTCATGGTCTTGGGGCTTGGTCCACCGAGTTCTTTGCTTTCTTTGAGGATGCAGCACACGATGTAGCAAAACGCAGGTATGTAACACAATGTCAGCATGAGATCATTCGCTGACACCACGGCGAACATGCGGTCAGCAAGAGCTCTGTCTTGGAAGTATCGTGAGAAGAAGTCTTGAACTTCGGCCAACGAGAAGCCAGAAATGAGCACAAAACGGTCGATGCAGCCGACAGGGATGTGGTTGATAGCTGCAGGTCGACTTGTGAGTAAGACAGAAGCATTGGGCAGCAGTTCACCAAGCATCAGACTTCCAAAGACCTCCACCACATCTGCGTCTTCATCAGGCTCAGACACAAATACATCTACCTCGCAGCTCCTGTAGTGCCTGAATTCATCAAAGCCGTCCAGTATGATAAGCAGATTGTTGTCATTAGCTAGAATGTTATCCAATTCTTTAGCTAGGTGCCTGTTCTTACGCAAGACCATCTCCCGGAAGCTTGTGGGTTTGTTGATCAGATTGAGGTCTCTGAAGGTCATGTGGATGACGAAGTCAAATGTAAGACAGTTTTTGTTTCCCCCGAAATCAAACAGCATCTTTTGCACAAGGATGGTTTTCCCAATGCCAGCCACCCCTGTCACCAGAACTTTCTTGACTGGACGACTTCCATTTGGACTGAGGAATATTTCCCCTGGTGTGATTTTTCTATGAACTGCTGACTTCTGCTGCAAAGACAATCGCTTTTGCCCAAATGTCAGAACCTCATGTCTTTTTATGTCCAACCCCTGGTGTCCATCGACCAACAAGAGGTTGACATAATGTTCAGAAAAAAGGATTTTCTCTCCATGTCGAGTGTTGTAGAAGAGCATGCTCTCGCTCCGGCGCCTAAGGACATCTTTATGCTTTTGTTTGACTTTGTTGTACTCTGCAAAGGTAGATATGTTTGAATATTTTGCACAAAAAAAAAACGAAGATCTTGAAACTAAATGATTTGATATTATTATTTCAAAGAACATTTACTGTTTAAGAACAATGCAGTGCTATTACAGTAGTCAAACTCTTCAGAAATACCTTTTAACATGTGCTAATGACATCTCTGGGGTGTTATTTGCATACCTACGGACTGAGGTTGATCTGTGTTGCCTTCTTTGGAGTATTTCTGTGCCTCTTGCTGATGATTGATGCTAATTGAGAGGAAAATATTAGCTGCTTCTTCGCCTTTACACTGCAGGATGTCCAACACCTTTCTTACTCTTGCCCGGGGCCCCAACTGACACAAGACCTCCTCACGGTCATCACGAGTGAAAAACTCCCGACTTACTAAGACTTCCAGCAGAGAGTCAATCCGTCCTTCTAGTTCATCCACGAGGGAAACTCGCAGAACCCTGATTGCTGTCAAAGAAGAATTACAACCATCCTTTTCCCCCATAACTGATCCGAAATAATCCTCGGCACATCAGATAAGTGCAGTTATGATCAGCTTATCTGAATCGCAGCCTTTAGATTCATGTTGTAAAGCACTTTCCACTGATGGGTGGGGAAATCCTGCAAACGTTTGTGCCTCTTCAAAAGCTGAGATGCTGAGTGATAAGTGAACGTTCTGAAAGCAGAAAACAGGAAGTGCATTTCCTTTTAATAAAATACTCCCTTGAAAGTCTAGTTATTCTGGTTCAAGGCTGGTTTCACACATTACAGTAGTATGCTTCCTGAACATGTTCTGCTGAGTGTTGAAGGTGAAATGTTTGCATTTGAGTAATGAGTTGACAGAAACGAAGGCATTTGTGCTTTACAACCACTTCAGTTGTTTACTTCTGCTTTCACTTTTTGCTTTCTTTTGTTTATTTAACAGGGACAGTTACAATGAGGATTGTGTCATACAAAGTAGATGCCATGCATACTGGTTTCTAGCCGTGGCTATGTTACAACGCCTGTCCCTGGCTAGGCTTTTAGGATTAAAACAAAAGCATTACACTTAAAGAAATAGAGAAATAAGGATGCTTATAGATAAATTGTAAACTTGAGCTTTTAGCGCTTTTCTAGTTTTCTGACAACTCAAAGTGCTTTTTCATCACGTCACACCTACCCATTCACACCAATTAACACAATGATGGCCGAGGTTGCTATGTAAAGTGACCATCAGAAGTAACTAATCCCATTCATACGGCGCCTACAAAGCAAGTGTCTTGCCCAAGGACACAAGGATATGTTGCTACAGGAGCTGGAGACCGAACCCTTCAACTTCAGGTTGAGAGACAACAACTCTAACAACTGAGCCACAGCCGGCCCAATACAAATAAGAGAATAAATAAGAAGGAACAGTAATTTGAAGATTAGAGGATAGAGTCAATGACTCAGACTTTTACTTACTTCAAAACCTTGAGCTCTGTCAGTGATTTTTATTTCAGATGGTAATGTGTTCCTGAGGTTTGTTTCTCTTAGTGAGAAGGATGGCAGACCAAATGTACTTCTGTGTTTTGGAGCTCTACAGTTTCCCCTCGGTGTTGACCTTGCTCTGATTTTATTTCTGATTACCAGCTGACAGATTGTTTCTGGAGCGTTGCTGTTTACACATTTAAAACTCAGTGTATTGTGTTTCTTTAAAGTGCCATCTGACTGATCGAGCCAGCTCAGAGAACAATAATAATAATGCACTCTGCTTTTTATTAAAAACACTAACAAGAAAGAGAATCTAGAGACAAACTGGTTTAAAAAGGAATGTATTTGGTTTTATTTCATGACAAACCAGGCATGAGCAGAGAGCAACACATCTAGTCACCAGCAGAGGGTCCCCATCGCATGCACATTAAATACCAAGACAGATCTGTAGGGAGAGGAATACTTAAAACCCAACCTTGTAATTATTTACAAAACTATGCACAAGAACAAACATGAAAATAAATAGCTTAAAGAACAAGACAAATATCTACATACAACTTGAGAACATAGGTAATATGCTAATGATGTTCACTTGTAAAATCAAATAAAGACGCCTTTATGAAAGTAGTTTCCTACTAGGGCTTTGTTGTGTTGCACATGATGATAAAGAATTGTGGACATAATTTCAAAGTGCAAACCCTGTTTACAGTCATGTAAGAACTGTACATTTAAAACGTTCCTCTTAAAAAGCAACAAAAGTATCGTTTACATAACGCGTAGGTCATATTTACATCTTCTGAGTTATACAACACCTACACTGAAATCTAACCAAGGAACAAGCATTACAAAAGAGCGGTCAAAATGTAAGGTTTTGCTTTCTCAAATATAATACGGTGGACAAAATAAACTGAGCTTTATGAGTTCATTTAGAAACTGTTAAGCTCAACGCACTTTTAAATGTGCTGTAACATCACAAAGTGGTTAAAGGACACGCACACAAAAAAACAAAATATACAAACAATAACACTTTACAAAATGAAGCAGAACTCTACAAGCCATGTTTTTAACAAAGACTTGGATGAGTTGAGTGCAAAACAACCGCCCCCCCCATATGTGACTTTCTTAAATCATACTCCTCCATAGTGCAACCCATACAAACAACATCTCTGTCTGACTTTTTCCACCCCAAACTGCACTCTCAACTACTCGTCTTTTTTTCTTACTTTCCTTCTTTCAAAACCTTTTTCAATCTGTGCTATCAACATGAGCGGAATGCCATAAATGATAGCAAAAAAAAAAGCTTTTTCTAAATGTATGACATTTGTCCAATGCAGTCATCTCTTGTATAACCATGTATGTCATTAGCAAAAGTTCCTTTAGCTTTAAAAAAAAAAAGAAAGAAGAAACATTTATTAACGCTGTTTCTTAGACCACTGCAATAACAGCAAACACACACGTCTCCAGTGGTTATCAAAATGTTTGGAGTCTACCCAGAATCCCCGGGTATGAAGTCAGTCAAGGAAGTATATTTATTACATGTTAATGTTTGTTTACGCTGAACTGCATGTCGTATGCTATTTTGGACATAAGGTGACGGTGCTACAGTAGAACATGGTGATGGAGAACCTCTGTTCCAATGCTTTAGGAAAACCCTTAAAATACAACAGATACTAAAAGTCTTCTTTTTACAAACCTGTTCCTCTTTACAAGAAAGAAGTCAACAGTCACCAGAAGTTTCTAATACCTGCAGTGGAAATGTATGTCAATACTTTTACATAATTCAGGAAAAGCTGTAGGTATAACTTCAGATTTAAAAAAAAAAAAGAGGTAAAGCTGAAGCATTATTTTTTTTAAGCTACATCACTCCTCTCAATACTTTCAAATTCAACCCCACGGATACCACACGGATTGCCTCTTTAAGGAGAGTAGACAACACACACTCAAAGTGTAACTACCCCAAATGTTTCTCCTCACAAAGGATCTCCCGTCCAAGCCAGAACAATGGGCACAGTTGTGGGTGTAGGACGAGGTGTAGAGGTTGCAAGTCTCCGTGTCCTTTCTGAGCATCTTCCCCCCCCCCGGCCCTGTTCAGGTTGTCATTGGCCCTCGTTGAATATTTCCCCGCCCTCAGGTGTTGCTGCAGGAGTGACAGCAGCGGTTCTTAAACTGAGGCAGCGGACAAAGCTCCAGCTGTCGAACCTTCTCACAGTACCTCGTGCTGTCCCGACACTCTCCTGCTGGAAAACAACGAGATTACAGTTTATTACACATGTTTACGCACAGGAGAAAGGGTTTCCACTTCAACATTTGTTCAAGGGGATTTAACCACCATCAGTACTCAAGGCAGTCAGAACAATAAAGTGATGATATGTTCAGAAATGCTGCTTGATATTCACAGAATGGAGTCAGGTCAAATTCTGCCGTTACAATGTTTGCATAGGGAATACCAGGTGGAAACTTCTGAAACTTCTGCCATGGAAACAAAAAGTGTTTTTGGTGGGACTGTGTGCTTTTGGAAACCCTGAAAAAATTCATTTCAAAACAAGAAGATCTATACTGCACATCTGATGTCATGAGGTTTTATCCAACATGTCTGTAGGTTATTAAACACATCAGAGACATTCTTGGGTAATACCTGATACAAGGAAGAACTTTTTTTAAATTGTTTTATTACCACTACTGTATTTCCCTTTTTTTCCTGTGTTGGTGGTTTCATTTTTAAATGTTAGAAATGTTAAGACCTCATCACACTGAAAGCAAGATTTGAACATTGTTGGCTAGGCCCATCAGGGGAATGTCATTTACCATTGTTGACTTTTTGACCAAACTATCCTGGCAATACCATTTATATTTGAAGTTAAATTTAAAAGTTTATTGCGGAAAGCTCTATAAATAGGAGGTTAAATGTTGATGAAACAGGCTGGCACTGAAAGAAACGTGTTTTTTAGTGGGTATTTCCACATTATACTTCACTGAATATGATACACAACGTTCAATAAATAAAGAGAATACAAAATAAAGATTCCTTAATGTACATTCACAACACTTCTGTTCTGCGTTCAGTGCACTGCTCTCCCCTCTCACCTCTCCCACAGGACAAAATGTTGCAGCGCTGCCAGCTAGGGGGGCGAGGCCTCCACATGCACTGATGTTCACGTGTTGCTTTTCCAGAACGGCGGTGTGCGCAGGTCACCTGGCGTGACTGGAAACCATGGCGCCCACAGGTGGCGGTGCATTGGGTCCACTGGCCCACGCGCCAATAAAGGGCACACGTCTCTGTGGAGCAATTCTTCATAGAGCTGGGCCTACGAACACACACACACACACACGCACACACAAAGAAAAGGGTCGAGAAGTTGTCAGAAATACTTTGGTGAGTGGCTCACTGAAACATCAGCTACTACAGTGCTATTTATCGCCAACATTATACATCAGCTTAATTCATACATGTGTATTCTTGTTTACCTCTGCAGTCCAGAGCACATCCTGTAGGAGACTTTTGTAGCGTTTGCATCCAGGCAGAAAACATGGCGGTGCTGTGTGGCCAAACTGGGACCAACACATTGTCCGTGACACTAAAAGGAAAAGAATTCATCAAAATTATGAGAAAGTACAGCTTTTCAAACTAATGGAAAGTTTGCCTGAAAATACAATCGGAGGATTCCTACTCAAAAGGGAACTACTTTGCAACATTTTGAGACAACGGATCGATGAGGAAATGCTCATAACACGAGTACAACAAAACGTTAGGAAACTTCAACACATAAAAAAAGGGGGCTTCCCAAACTGCAACAAATGCTTATAGTAGATAAGGAAGGATTAGGGTGCTTCCCCCCCCCCCAAGTATTTTGCAAGCGTAAACACTCAAACAAATGCTGTGATGAGCTGGTTATTCTGCAGTTAAGAAACATCCTCTATTTCACTGACAACTAATTGTTTTACGGTGTCTATAGTTCCCTTTTATTGTATTCTAAATAGTGTAAATACACACACACACACACACACACACACACACCCATACTTATGGGATGTATTTGTGGTCAATGTAGACTTACCAGTCCCCAGTGGGTGGTTGCCCACCTGGCACAGGGCTGCACGTTGCATGTCCTGGTGAGGGAAGGCCTCCTTCCTGTGCTGAGGCAGTGCTGGCTCTCCACCTCTCTGGATCTGCCCTCAGGACCCTTCATGCAGCGGACACTCCTGGT